AAACTAAAATAACTTTCAGTAGCAGCGTTACAACTCTATCCCTAGTTTTTGCATAGTTCCAGAATCGGAGGGGACTCTTCCCCACCAACGTCCCGAGGACTCCGTCCTGGATCCGCCTGTGAAAAAAAAGGTACATCACTGTGCTACTGCCAAACTAAAATACCAGAACCTTTCAGATAAAAAGTATGGCGATGCCCCCATATTCCCCGGGCATAGCTATTTTAGTCTGTCATCCTGAACTGCATACCTCCAGTTAGTACCCATCGCTTGTTCAGTGTTTGTGCGCGCCGCATCTTCAAGGAATGCTCAAAGTAGATTCGTTTACCATCGTAAAAAATAAAAGTTATTACAGTTATACTTGAAAAAAAAGTGAATAAATTAGTCCATTTATGTACAAATTAGCTAAGCGTGAATCTATATTGCCTGTCTATGAAATACAACGAACACGAATGAAAATCATGAAATGGCCTATACAGATGAGTGTTTTCTCAAGAATTCATGCAACTTGGAACTTAAGAATTTCTGGATTTTCTGCGAATTTTCTAGAATATTTCTTAGATAATGCTAAATTTTCTTAATTTCAGCAATTATAAAAAAAGAGGATTCTAAAAAGACAAAAATTTCATAACTTCAAGCATATTTCTATTTTTTTTACCTGTAATTCTAAAGTGAACGATAATGCGCAGTTGTTCAAATGAACAACTCAAGAGATCGGTAAACTGTATATGTATAATAGCGTACAATAGTTTTAATAATAGGTGTGTTATTATTAAAACTGCTCGAAGGGCTCGCCGTTGGTTATCGGTTTCGGTACGAATGCTATCGTATGCTTGCCTTTGGCCACAATTCGACCGTCGTCCTTTCGTCGAAATTCCGCTTCTGTGAAAGCTATGTTTCGACCGATTTTTAGTACAGTTGCTTCCACCACGATCTTCTCGCCAAGCTTCACCGGCAGCAAATAACTGAAAAAGAAACAAGTGGTGCATGAAACATCACTGAAACAAGCAGTACTTTTCAAGTGACATTCGTTACTTCTCCTGAGTACTTCCCAAGCACTCCTAATGTAAACTTATAATTGCACCATTTTCCTCCTCCCACTAATTCCTAATACTTCGACCTACTTCCCCCCCCCCCCCCCCCCCCCCCCCCCCCC